ACGCGACACGTTCGTAGTGGCAACGCGACACGTTCGTAGTGGCAACGCGACAAGTTCGTAGTGGAGACGCGACACGTTGGTGGTGGCGACGCGGGGCAACTTACCCTCATTGTTCAATATAAAGTACTGGTGCTTCCAGTTGTACTTCTCGTCCACGTAGTTCCTGCTCTTCAGTGACTTGAGCGTCATCATGATATGCAGGTTAGGAATGTTCAGGTGGGGGTGGCGCGGGACCTTGGCATCCTTCTCCACGACGATGACTCCTTCTGCAAACGGGGTGATGGGTGAACATGACGCGGTGGCGACGGGTGAAACATGAAGCGGTGAAGATGCGCGAACATGACGCGGTGAAGATGCGCGAACATGACGCGGTGGCGATGCGTGAACATGACGCGGCACACAAAAAACAACGAGCAGTGCCCAGCGTTAACTCTCTCCTCGACAACGCACGTACCTTTGAACAAGTACTCATAAATGAGCTTCTTGTTTTGCTTCGGGATGTAACTGTACTTGTGGTGGGGCAACATCTTGTTATTCATGGCCTTGAGTTTGTGAGAGTAACAAAGGGGAAAAAAAAAAAAAAAAGAAAAAAAAAGCGAATTATGCGTGCAGTGGTAACAACTTGGTTAATGATTCGAACGGGGAAGCAAGATAAGGGATGAGCTTGTTGTTTTGTTTCGTTTTTTTTTTTATGTTATATTGTATTTTCCTCTTCTCTTTTTTGCGTTGTATGTTTTAGCTACTTTAGAAGATTGTAAAGTTTGTCAGTTGACCAGTTTTTAATTTTTTTTTTTTTTTTTTTCGACCAGAAAAAAAGCGTTCCGTTTTTGTTATTCCTCACTTTTTTGGAGGGAGTTTTCCCGTGTAGCGGCAGGGGGGGCATACGCGCGCGCTTAAAAGTGGGGGGAAACTCTGTCACCAATTTATATATATGTACGCACAGCGCAGTGGGATTATATATACATATGCGCGTTTTCTATGCGACCTTTTTTTCCCTTGTGATATACATCAACAACTATTCCGCGGCACTATTTTTTTTGTTTTTTTTTTTTCCGTTGGCTCCATTACTCCATTGTTGGGCCGTTTATTTGGGGTCGTGACAGGCTGTTGCCCCGCGTGCCCTCATATCTGCACTTGAGAGGGAAAAGAACACAGCAACGGCATAACGGGGTTGGCGGCCAGTCTAAGCAAATAATAATAAAACACCTGTGAATAAGAATATGCTACGTGCAGTAGGGCGTAGGGGAAATAATAATATAGCCGCTCCATGCCTGAGGCGGGCCCCTTGGAAGGTGCGTTAATATATTTCGAGGGTGGGGGACGGGGAAGTGTCCATCGGCCAACCCCTCTCCCCACTAAATTCACCCTCAGCGCATTCTGCCCCCTTCTACGCCGACCTTGGGGATATATTTCTTCTTCTTTTTTTTTTTGTGCCCAATAATGGTTTATAGTATTACACCATACCCCACGTGTCGCTCCACTTGGTGACGGTGCAGGGCTACTCAGAGGAGGCAAGAGCCGACCCCTACAGGTCCGGCACAAAACGCAACAAAGCCAGGTGTGAGGGGACGAGCCAGGATCCCTTCTTTTCTGCCCCCACTAAAAAATATGTGGCGTGTCGCACCGTTGGGAAATAATTTTCCCCTTGTGGGGGTGAACGGGAACGACTATAACGGGTTGAAGTTTTGTTCTCTTCCCAAGGGAGGGAAAAAGCGGGATCGCCAAGGTTCACAATCCACCCCAATATAATCTTTCTTCTTATGGGGGCAAGTTACCCCGAGTCGGTCAACACGTCGTATAATGTATGCCATTGCGGGCCGCGTCATTATTTACCCCGTTTCCATGGACTTTTAAATTGAACAAAAAAAAAAAACGCGTAAAACGCTCGACCTGCGAGGCACAAAAAAAAACATTTATATAAAAATACATATGAATAGTTGACTCGAACGAGCAGCATGGTTTCTCTCTTCTCGCCACGAGAAAGTAAAAAAAAAAAAAAAAAACAAAGCGCTTCGGTCAATTTTTTGTTCCTTTTGGGGTTTTCCTTTATTTATTATTTTTTTTTTCCCTGCCACGTGTTTTTTTTTTCCTTGTTCCATTTCCACGTCAACCGAACGAGCTGCTCCATCCGTGGGCATTCGATATAAAGGCCACGTATTTTTCTTTTTTTTTTTTTTTTTTTTTT